GAGGTGTCTGCTTAGGTTAATAGCCAGCTTTGTGCAGTGGGTATCATGGGGTGATTTACATTGGGAACAGGAATCTTCCAGGTTAGCTGGTGATCCTTTGTCCTTAATCCAAATTATAGCAAAGATGTAGTGTTTGGCAGACGCTGGCAGGATGAAAATTCCCTCTTTCCTCTCCAGCTGCCTCTCGGCGGGGATAGGGTGGGGGTGGGTGCAGGAGACAAGTCTCCACAGCCCTTTCAGCCGCTCCTTTGCTGGGAAAGCCCGAGAGCTCCCATGGTTCTAGGGTGTTCCTCTCCCATTATCGCTTCCTTCCATCCCATCAGGGTCTCTGTGCAGAAATGCACCCACTCGTGGCACATCTTCACTGCTGTAAATTCTCTTCGCGGGGCTCTCAGCTTGGCTCCCGCTGTGCTCCTGCTCTGGCAGAAGGAACCAGCGTGTCACACCGCTGCATGTTCCACCCCGGGCCCAGCTGTGTGCCCAGCTGTGTGCCCAGCTGTGTGCCCAGCTGTGTGCCCAGCAGTGCTCCTCTGACTCGCAGCTGGCACTGGAGGCTTTCCACGCCTGCAGCCAGCACACACTAAGTGCTCATGGCTGCCAGATTCCCGCCAAGGGGTCTCAGATCAGCAGGAGAAAAAACCGTGATGCCTTGAACCCTGCTGGAAGCTGTCTCCCTCCTTACAGAGATTGTAATTTTTAGGATGTTGTTCAACGATACTTACTCTTTCACAGCAGCAAAATCCTTATTAGTGAGCCTATGAGCAATGATTATTACCCTAACTACCAAAGGGCTTTGTGTTTGCTTCTTTTAACATCTTTTCCTTGCTGATCTTCCAGTCCTGTATGCTAATCCAAACAAGACCTTTAATAGTAACATGAGCAAACCAGTGTTGTGCAGGCTAAACTGGGCAGGAACATCATCTGCTTAATTACATGAGGTGGGAAGGGTTAGACTCTGACCCGAGCTATGATGGGTATAAGCTGTCTACACTCTAAATTCCCTCAGTGCTTCTGGGAATCCAGAGTCACATGTCCAGAGGTAAGTTTTATGGTACAGTCAGGAGAAAGGGTAACATGTGCACTGTCCAGCCCTCTCTAGCTGCTGTCCTTCCTTTATCTTCTTTTCTGTTTGGTCTGAGATACCTCCTCAGTGGAAAACACTCTTTTGAGCACCATTTCTGCCCCAAAAAAGCACTACTACTACTTCTATGCCACTGGAGCATAAGCAATAATAGCATTCAAGTGGGGAGAAGAAAACCACCAGGGTGTCTCTACTTCCCAAACAGTCTCCAAGAAATTCCTTCCCTCTTTCCTTGAGTTTTTCCATCAAAGTTTTCCCTCAAGTCTGCAGGGCAGCTTCTGCTGATGCTGTGAGGTCCATGTATCCCCCCAGGCTGTAGTCCTCAGCTGCTGTGGTGCCTCGGCAGCTCTGGGATTTGGTCCAGTCTCACAAGACAAAACTGACTCAGAAATTCAGAAAGAGAAAAAGTGATCTTACAAGAGTGGCTGATGTTGTAAGTTGTTTTTTTCAATTAGCCGGCATTTGATCACCAAAAACAGGTTATTTTGTGTAAAGGGCACTGACAGGGAACAGGTATTTAACAAGCTCCCTTATGGCAACAGATTAAAAATCCTCTCCCACTGCTGGTTTGCCTCGAAGGGTGTGGTGAACAGGAAACACACCCAGCCCTCCCTCGATCCTCTGATCTGCAGTAATCGGGCCCACTGGCCTCCTGCAGCAATTCTCTCCATAGCCCACCGTGCAGAGTGTGCCCTCATTGCCCTGGGCCTGCCTGACCCGGCTCTACCTTCATTTGTGCTAGCAGCAGCATTACATAAATTACTTACTCTAATGATGCCTCTCTTAAGTAAGCAAAGGGGATGACATCAGTGCCAGCTGCTCGGGGAGGGAGGGCAGGCTGAGCCTGTCCCCGTGGGTGTGCGCACACAGAGCGCTCCAGCCATGGCACAGCCCGATCCCCCCAGGAATGGACACAGGATCAGCAATAATTCAGGCCTGGAAGGCACCTTAGGGGATCTCAGCCCACCCTTCTGCTCACATTGGGGTCAGCAATGAGGCCAGACCAGGTTGCTCAGGGCTTTATTCATCTGAGTCTTGGAAACTTCTAAGGATGCAGCAAATAGCTTCTGTGGGCAGCCTGCTCCAGGGTTCAATTGTCCTCACAGGGAAACATTGCTCCCTTCTATCCAGTCTGACTTCTTTTTACAACTTAAAGCCACTTTGCCAATTGTAAAGGTGGTTTTAAATACCCCTATACACAAAAATAACATGTAGGTGCATTCAGATCAATCCACATATCTGCCCACATCTTTGTTCATAGCAGCCCAAGCCTTCTCCAGTCTTTAATAAACTTGTTATATAATATTTGTTGTACACAGCATCATGTAGTTTGTCTGTGGGAGTGCAGAAATTGGTTCATCACCTAAACACACCTCAAGCAAGCAGGACTATAAGACAGCTAAAATGACTGCACAGCTTATGTTTTGTCCAGATGCTGCATTATTCCTTCATACTACAGAAACCTACTGTTCACTAATTTCTCCCAGCCTCCCTCCAGGCAGGAGGATCCCTGCCAGGTGCTCATCTCCAGAAGGTGTCTTCTTGCCCAGCTCAGCCTTCTCCATGAGATCAGATGGTCCCATCTTGGGGCAGCCTTTCTCCAGCCCAAGCTGGCTGGTGACAGAGACCACACAAAGTCTCCTGTGTGCTGAGGCTCTTGCACTGGCCTCAGACTGTGCTTTGGGAGGAAGATCCTCAAGCCCCCAAACCCACTGTCACTCCACAGGACTCTACCCAGCACCACCTAATTTTGCTCCACCCAAAGAGTGGTCAGTAGGATCTGGTGTGAGTTGCTGCAGTGGTCACGAAAGGAAATTGCATCCACCTTGGTACATTCAGAGGCCATCTAGCAAACTGACAGCTGGTGAAGAGGAGGCAGTGAAGAGAGGCACTGGAAAGCACCAAAAGAAGTGTTGCTTGTTAATACCCACCTTTGGGAAGGGAACTTTGCTTGAGATGGTTTGGTGGCATAATGCACAACCAGGACAGTGCCAGTTTGCACCTCTGGGCCCAGAAGTCTCTAAAACTGAATCAGATTAGAATGGCCCCAGCATCTCTCATCTCCCACCATTATGCACAGACACGTGGCAGAAGCAAATATTTCCACCTGCACTGAGACAGTAATTTCCAAAACCAAAATCAAAAAAATTATCAAAATCCACTAATTCCCTATCCTTACACTCAAAATGTGCTTTCAAAATTGCCAGCTTTAACATAAAATCAAGTTCAGGATATTTTAATTTCTCTTCTGATTTTGAGCCTCTTGGGTGTGCTCCAATTCTGTTGTGAGGCTTTTTTCTAGGAAGATGAGTGCCAGAATTGATTTTTTTTTTTTTAATCTAAAAGCAAGACTGTCATAGAATTCTGTAATTTTGTGAAGGCACCCAAGATAGCAGACTGTACCATACCACTCACACTGAGACACCTGTATCTGGGAGGGAACCCTATAAACTGAAGAATACCCCTAAAAGGCAAAAAAACAGTGAAAAGGGTCGGAAGCTTAAGGAAGGGAAGAGGTCCTCGTGTGTTTTTCTCCCTGGCCTGCCTGAGGGACTGTTGCTGGCCACACCACCACCCAACACACACACCAGTACCAGGCTGAGTGCCCACCACCCCCAGCCCCACTGGGTGCTAGTGCTTACAAAGTGCTTCAAACACATGCCAGAAGAATTGTGCACAGACATACAAACAGCACAGGGGTGCTGGAGATTAAGTATGCCTGGGGAATAAGGGACTTTTCCTTCCAAAACTACCCTGAATGAGTTGTCTCCGAGGGCAGGTGCCTGCAGAGACACTGTTGTTTGGTGTATAACCCTCTGTGTAAAATTCTTGCCTGTCATCTCATATTAGATCTGGTAACTTGTTCAAACTGGAGGAGAAAAAGAATTTCTGTAGTAAATTTCAGACATCATAAAGAAACATAGGAAATTTTAGGTTCTTTAATTATCAAAGCAAATTCAAAGCCAGAGGAAGCAGAGAAAGCTATTAAAATCTGCTCAAAAGGATAATTAAGTTAAGATTGCTTGAAAATGTAACATGGTTAAATGCTGCCCTTTGTGCATTGTCAGAGCAAGGTTAGTGGCTCAGGTATGTCTGTTTGTTATGAAGAAAAACTCATCTGCAGCAACCCTGCTCTCAGGCTTCTGGCAAGGAGGAGAAATTGTCTCTCTTCAGTGAGTGGGTTAATACCCTGCTCACAGAGATTTCTGGGGGATTGGGAGACCTCCCTTCTCCCTGTGGCTAGATTCCTGAACAGAGCTCACCAAATCTACAGCCTAGAGAACACTTCTTCCGAGTAAAATGGAGGGGAAAGTGCGTTCAGCCTGGGGGTTGCAGAAATCAGCCTCTCCCTACCCAAAGAAGAGGATCCATCATATGCCAAAAATACCCATTAAATGCCCTGGAGGCCTTTGTAGTGGTGCAGAAGTCCCATCTGTAACCAGAAAGTTGTGATGTCCAGGGTCGATAGTTACCAGCAAGCAACCCAAGGAACGCCAGATGTGCCTTCCTCAGTAGCAGAGCCTAAGCTTTCCAGCGCCTCCCGCTCTGGAAAGGTGCAGCGGGCTGGCAGAGGCGGCAGCATCTGGAGGGCAGCCAGCTGGGAGCTGCTCCAAAGCCGGCGCCCAGACAGAGGTGAAAATCAATAACGCTGCTAATAAATCAAAGCGCAACCACTGGCACACAGCCCGGCTTTGCCCCGGCCTCGGGTCAGCCACTTCTGGCTGCTCTCTCCTGGCTCCTGCTGCCAGCGCCCGGCCGGGACGGGGGCAGATCCCGCCCCGCTCCCGGCCCCGCTCCCGGCCCCGCTCCCGGCTCCGCTCCCGGCCGTGCTCAGCCCTCCGGGGCGCCCCTTCCCGAGAGCTCTCTCGGATCACCCGCGGTGTTTGCGGAGGGAGGGGAAGGGGGTCAGGCGGCTCACCCCGGGAGGGAAGGGCTCCGGCGGCTCCCGGGGCTCCAGCCCGCAGCCCGGTCACAGCCCCGCGCTGCGCGGCCGCCGGGCCGGCAGTGACACCGCGCGGCGGGCACCGGCACCGGCCCCGGGCACCGACACCGGCACCGACACCGGGCACCGACACCGGGCACCGGCACCGGCCCCGGGCACCGGCACCGGCCCCGGGCACCGACACCGGGCACCGGCACCGGCCCCGGGCACCGGCACCGGGCACCGGCACCGGGCACCGGCACCGGCTCCGGGCACCGGCACCGGGCACCGGGCACCGGCCCCGGGCACCGACACCGGGCACCGACATGACGTGGGGAGCGTCTGCTCCTCCGGGAGCCGTGGTCCCGGCTGTTGGCACAGGGCTCTGCGTGCCCCCATCCTCCACCGGGGGACGAGCCTTCTCCTCCCTCTCCTTCTGGATATACACACACGCACATACATATATATAAATGTATATATATCTAGCTGCAGCCCACCTCCCTCCTCCTCGACTCAAAGCCTATAGCGCTGTCGTGTCTTGCCTCCACGCCCCGCATGCCCATTCCCAACGGCGGCGCGACAGAGGTGTCCCCAAACCCTCCGGGAAGCAGCAGCCTCATCTGTAATCAAACTCACCCCGCTTTTTCCCAACCTTAGTCCCTTACACCATCCCCATTTGGCTCGCCCTCCCGGGATGTTTTAAATGAGATCCTGATTTCTTCAGGCCAGAGATGATCTTTTATCATGTCTGGTACAACCCTTCCCGCGCGGGGGTGCAGGCAGCATGGGACCTCCAGGCATAATTACAGTCCCGATAATAAGTACCAGGCACGTTGTTTGTCTCCCCGCTCAGGCTGCCACGCTGTGCTGTAATCAAAGTTGCTGATTGTTTTTAAAAGGCAGGTGTGTACTTTGGGCCTGATGCAAGGCTGTCCTACATTCTTCTCTGGGTCACGTCAGGATCTTTGGGTTCCATACTGAAGGGCTGTTTTAATCCTCTAGGCTCCTGTGCTTCAGGGCTCTGGCTCCCTGCCTTCCCTAAAAGACCTGAGACCCCTAAACTCCGCACAGCATGTGGGCACAACGCTCAGCCAGGGGTCAGACCTGCTTGTTTGTGTGCTGCACAGGAGTGGTGAGCTGATGCTTCCTCTCGTTCCACTTTGTGAACCGCAGCACTCCCTGAAGTCTGCCAGCCCCATGATGCCCAGCAGAATGGACGTGCTGGGTACATTTCTCCTAATTTTCCCATTAACAAGCATGTGGTCAGTGCTGTGCTGGATGGCGCTGCACTGCCAGCACCACAGACTCCCATGAGGAGACATGGCAGGACGAGAAGACTCCTTGCTGCCCCTTGGATTAGCATGTGTCAAGTCAAGCTGGTCGCTCCAGCTGTGCAGATCAGTACAGCAGAGACATCTGCACATTCTGAGATGCCAATTTGCAGCTGCAGCAACCTCTGCATGGCCAGCCTGCCCTGTGGGAGCCACACACCAGGACTGCCAATGTCTCTGAGGAGCTCACCGGTGCTCGCAGATGCTGCTGGCACATGACACTGCTGTGGAGCTGCACCACAGACACAAACTTCTGCAGAGATCATGTCCCTGGTTTTCTTCAAAGTGACCTGGTTAAAAGGCAAGTCTTTCACTTTGGGGAGACAATCAGAATTGTCACTGCCAGATCTGTGATGTCGCAGATCACTTGAGGAAGGCTTGGGAATGCACTGAGACTCTGGAGAATAGTCTTCCTTCCAGAGGCTGCTGTGCTGAGGCTGACAGGGCTGTGTACCTCTGTGTCCAAGACCCCTTGGCATGTGTTGCCCAGGACCCATGGGCATGTGTTACCTCAGCCCTGGAGGTGACTCATCCCCACACATTCAGAATGAAAACCCAGAAACCTGTCTGTTCTTTCTGCTCATCCTGTCCCTTGAATGCTAGCAGTTTATTCTGTGTCTTCAGGGGCCTCAGATATTCATTTTCAAGCCCCTTCAAAAACATGGCTTGGAAAAATGGAAAACACATCCACACCTGGCATCATGCAGATGCCCATCTGGATCTGGAGAATGCTTCAGAAGAGTCTATTCTCTGAATATCACTGAGATCAGAGAGAACTGGGCCTCTCATCTGCTGAGCAAACAGTTGCATAATTGAAACTGCCTCAGGCTCACTGGAGTAAACTCACTCCCAGTGTGTCCTGCAGTTCAAGCATTTTAGAGAAGAAAAGCATGGAATTATCACTGTCTGCTACGGACAGTTCACTGCTCCACCTTTTTCAGCTCTCCTCTGGCAGGTTGTCATCACATCTTGCCTATCACACCGCTCTCCTCTGCCCTGCACTTTGGGCAGCTTTCCAGGCTCCAGCTGGGGAATACCAACTTGATTAGATTTGCTTCACAAAGGCATTTCACAACCTTTGTTCACCTAAACAAAATAAAAGTCTTAGATCTAAGGATATTAATTAAGGGCAGGATAGATCCTTTTGAAGGAAACTACTGGTAACTCACCAAATTTTAAATAGTACACTTTCCTGCCAAAATCCCCTGCTGAGGAAAAGTTCACATAAGTTCAGCTGCTCAACCCATGATTTCCTGAAATAGGAGGTGACATGTTTCTGACTTTTGGGTCCCTTAAACATAAAGATTCCTGTTCCAGTTTTGTCAATGAACCACTCATCTGGTATGCAGGAAGTTTTAGCCATTTTTTCAGGCCTCAGACAAACAGGATGCCAACAAAGATGAGGAGGATATTGTGTCTCTTACTCCTTTTCCTCTGGTTCTTCTTGCTTGGACTCCTAATTGATGTGTCCAACATGCACATTAGAAACAAGAACAAAAAGCCATCACACAGCAGCAATGTCTAGTTCCCAATAATTTCTGCTCAGGCTGACCTGGAAGGGAAGAATCCCTGGCCCAGTTCCATGCTGTGCTGTCCATCATACTCAAAATTCACTTTTTCTCCCCTAGCTGATTTCTCAGTAGATACATATAGATGGGAATGAACTGGTTCCTTTCTGAAAACTGGCAGACTTTGATGACTACAGCTGAGTTTATAATGTGGTTTGCTGCCCCATGCTCTCAGTCTGTCACCATGTTCAGTTCCTCCCATCTATGAGGCTGTAGCTGGAACTGCTTAAAAAGCAAAGCACGTTGCACAAGGAGAAAACCAGTGTGGAGTCACACAACAGCCTTCCTGGGTGCTCATCTCCAAAGCTGACTTCTTTGGAACCAGGAAAGGGGAAGCATCATTTGCAAGCCACTGTCTCTCCTGGTGAAGAGGTCAGCCTCTCTGACCAGCTCAGCTACCAGCTCCTCCTGAAGCACTCACAGGTGCAAGGACCAGGCTGGCTTTCGCTCCTGCCCTTCTGGCAGTTTCATCCTGAAAGAAAACCACTATGGGGACACATTCAGTTTCCTCTCCATTAAACCATTCCAGAAAAATAATCTCTACCAAATGTACTTTCTTCAGAAGCGGCACAAAGCCTGCTCTGTGAATCCCAACAACAATGTGCTCATTAAAAACTTGCTGTTACGCAGCAATGAAAGTGCTCTTGGGAAATGGGTCTAAAAAAGGGGTACAGTCAGGAGCAGAACAAGCAATTGACAGAGAAAGGAATTTACAGTCAGACATTCCTTCACTAGGATGGAGTTACTTCAGTCTTACTGCCAAATGCTCTGAAGCAAAGCAAGAGATGTTCCTGAGCAGAAGAAAACATGCAGGTAACATGTAACACTGACCTATGGGCGCTGCTCACATGATAGAAAGGGCACCTGAGGGCCACATGACATCTCTCAGGAGAAGACCATGGTTGAGGTGGACCTCTGAGAAGAGACTGGCCCAAGCTGAACAAGCTCAGCACTGCTCCCATCAGCTCCCAGCCTTGCAGAAGGTAGAGGAGTTTCATGTAGTCAGATACAACAGAGGATTGTGCAACCACTCAGGCACAATCCCGCACTTCCTGCGGGGAAGCACAGCCCCCAGACTGCCAGGCAGGTCTGGGGCACCACACTGCAGCATGAGACAAGAGAAAACACTTTTGGCCATATCAAAATGAGTCACTCTTTTAACTGGAAATTTAAACGAGGTGAAGACCATTGTGCAAAATGTTTCCGTGTCGATGAATCAGCTTCTTCCAAGGGAAAAGCTGAGCCATTTGAAGAACACTGGCCCGTTATACAGCACAAGGCCTCCCCCAGAGACCTTGCATTAAGGCCTGAGACAAGCTGGAGCAAGCAGGCAAAATAAACCCTGGGTTCACAGGTACCAATTAAGCAAGGAGAGCAGAAAACTGAGTTTACCACTGGCCTGACCAATGCCAGAGGGGAATAGTGTGTTGGCCAATTTCAAAATTAGATTTGAAAGAAGAAGAGCTGGTTAATATGAACCAACAAGCCTCGCTAGGCTGAAAAATTATGAAATAGCCCTCTGTATGTTTCTGCCTTCCCCTTTTGTGCATATGTAATGAATAATTAACTGGCTCTTTGTCTTCAGCCCTTGATGAATTCTGGGTGTAGTAACAGGAGCAGCCGATGGTATCTTGTCTGTTCTCCCTTCAGACAATACTATACTCTTGCATGTAATCCTATGATGGCACAAAGCAGGTTCTCCTTATCCTCCCCATCAGGCTTCTATCCTGTCTTCTTCCTGTGCATGTAATTATCTTCTGGAGTCACATCCATAGAAGCAATAAGCACATACGCCACTCAGCAGCACCGTTCAGACTGGCAGAGTTGCTAATGCTGGGCTATAATTACACAGTAGAAATCCTTCAGCAGCAGTCAGCAGCCCTGGACAATAACAGCAAACAAGTAATACCTTGTAGGCCAGCTTACCCATTAGTTTTTTATTATTTTTGTGGTCATGAGTCATGTGGGAGTACCTAGCAGGTAACGTGTCCCATACAAGTGTTGGGCCTGGAGACCAATGGAGCAGACAATATTTTTTCTTTGGCTGTAATCTGAGCCACCCTCAAGAGACAAGGTGGGTTATCACTGTCCTGGCAGTCATGTAGGTGGCTGGGTATGCAGTGATGATCCAGCATGACCAGGAGTTAGGAAGCTGCCAAAGCAAATGAAACACAAGACAGGAGATACGTGAATAAATCGGGTCTACCAACACTGCAGGCAAACACAATCCATGCTAGGAACAAGCAAGGGAGAATGTGATCCCTTCCTACCCAAAGGCAGGATTGTCATATTTCACTTTGTAGCAAACCATTAAACAGTCCAAAGCTTGGGAAGTTCTAGAGGACACCTTGCACACATTCATGCACCTCCTGGGAGCACCATGAAAGCCACAGTATTCCTGGAAGTGTGACAGTATTGGAGGCTGAACTAAATCATACCACTATGTGCAGGTGCCAACATTTCATTCAATGTGGTTGAAGTGGGGAAAGGCAACCTGATGGAATCAGTGTGCATTTCTGGTGTGGACAGCCATCACAGGCTGATAGAGGGAAGGGAGCTCTCTGGGGAAGAAGACAGAACATGGATAGCACCGAGGGCATAGATGGGAGGACTGGCCCTAGCCGGGATGAGACGAGCAAGTTTACTTGAGCTCTTGTGGGATGATTAGAAAATGAAACACAAGGGTAGGTCTGAAGAGTTGCATGAGCAGTCACGGTGAAGTAGCACAAACGGGTAGCGCTGGTCTGCATCTCCCTCCTTCTCACCCACACCCCTCACCCTGCCCCAGCTGCTGGCTCCACGGGGCTGAGTCTCCACAGCTCCCTTCTAGCAAAGGACAGCTCCCATCCTTTGTCGCCTGCTAGGCTGGCAGGGCTCTGCCTTTCTTACAGACACCCTCAGGAGTCCTCTGGACTGTCTTTGGCTGGCACTGCAAAGGCACAAAGGGCACCTACACCCCTTGTGGCCCCTTCCTGCAGGAAGCTGGAACAAAAGTGCAGTAGTGAATTGCCCTCCTCTTTTCGTCATAAGCCTTTTCCGTCACAAGCCTTTTATGAAAGCAAATAATTAAAAAACAAATTAATAAAATAAAATTAACTGAGACATGACCTCAGCCTGGCCGCTCAGAGCAAGAGGCGGTGTCTGGACCTGATCAACTGCTGCTACACCTATGCCTCAGCATTTTATGGAGTAGTCAGAGAAAAGGCATGGTCCATGCTGCATGTTGTTAATGTTTTGGTGAAAGAGAAACACTATTTCCATGACTTTCCAGGTTTTTCTTATGGCAAATTACTGGGAAGTATTAACCTAGCTATTGAGAGTGAAATGAACACGTTGCAACAAATAAACTGCCCATTTATTTTCCTTAAAAACAAACACAAACACAGTGGGATCAAAAGCTGCTCTTTTCTTTGATAGATGCAATGCCTGACTTGTCCCAGCTAAACACGTTTCCCTCCAGCTCCATCTTTCACTTTTCAGTGACACTCCCAGCTAGCCGGGGATCCCGGAGCAATATGGAGACAACACAAGGATCTATCTGGGACAAACACTCCTGTGCAGAGTGACAACAAGCACAAGGCAGGGGATTACTGCAGGCTAGGGAGTGTATCCACCTCAAAAATGCTGTTGACTGCAGATGTATGAGGAAACATGTCACCATTGTAGACAGATGTGTACATAGTGATGTCTGATCCAGATCACTACTAATTACCCTGGCAGGGTACTTGAGGTGCCTTAGAAAGCCAACACCCACTGATGAGACATGATCCTTCCTGGAGCCATGTTCTGCCACTGACTGCAGCTTGGGTGTTTCAGCCTGTGCTTGTCTTTCCTCCTGAGAAGGGGCTTGCAGCTTCTTCTGGTGGCAGGCTCCCACAAGGAATGTGTTCACTGCCCTGTCATGAACTGAGTGACAGCCCTGAAAGCAAGTAAATTTATGACAGTTCAATACTCAGCTATAAATAACAGCTCACGGGGTGTGGGTTTTCACCCACTTTTACTTGGCAGTAAATTCTCTCAGGAAGTGAAGGAAAAATATGGTGCAATCCATGTCCTACGTGAGGAAGAGGGAAGATGCTAGCTCTGCCCCTCTGTCCATGCTGAGAGGCTCCAAACAAAACTAAAAGCAAAAAAGAAAAAGGCAAGAGCAAATGATGGATGTGAAACGCAGGAGAGAAATATAACTAAATATCAGAGGGGTAAAAAAACATCCTGGAAGGGATATGCACCTGAAGCACCCCTTCTCCATGGCCAGGGCTTCCATTCCTAATTGTGCCACCTCCAGCCCCACCATGGCCTGTAATCCATCACAGAGAACCTGAGAGATGTGGAGGCCACTCTGATCCAAGCCTCCTCATTTGTTCCCAGGGCACAGTTCATCCTGCCCAGCCGACTCTGTATTGCAGCCACGGAGAATGAAGAGGTAAATGCCAGCTCTCCTGGACACTCCCATGGTGACACTAAACCCATGGAGCACAAACACTGCTTCCTGCAGGACAGGTAGTCTTCAAAAGAGCCAGCACCCCAGGGAGTAGGTATTTAGGCATACTTATAATTTGATTTTAAAGGTTGGAGAATGCTGGGGAAAGTGGTGTGAGAAGACCACACTGGTTTTCTAATTGGCATCTTCTTGGCATTGTAGCAACATACATTAGCAATAGCAAAACATCCAAGGCAAGACATTCAACAAAAACGAGGTCAGTGGAACAAAACACATTATTGCTGAAACCAGCTTGCCTCTCAACGTTAACTGTGCCATGAAAGACACTGACTCAAACCCGATAAGAGATGAAATATTAGAGGTTACAGTACGCATTTCTCAAGAGCTCCTCCATTGATCCAGCTGCCCAGTTGAGGCTCAGCCTCTTTGACAACTTCTATTTTCACCAGGAGGTCCTTTTATTTTTCACCCTATGCTGGTTTGAGGCTCCCATATGGAAGCTTGTGCCATCCAGCATTCACAGCAGTGCTGGCTGCTCTGGCATTTTCTGCACAGTATTTACACACCCATGGCAGAGGTGTATCCCACACAGAGGCTGTGCTATTCCATCACATGCTCACTCACTCATTTTGTACGGGGATTTTTTCCCAAAAAGGAAAATGGAATTATTTTTTCAGGTTTTCTTTCTGTTTTTGTTTCATCTTGGTTTGGTTTTAAATCATCTTGATATTACTTGCAGAAAAAGGAATTGCATTTTGGACTGATGCAAGTAGCCATGGGTGAAAGGATACTCTCATTCAAATATTGAACTGAGGTCACACAGCACAAGGAAGTCAATTAAAATATTTTTATCACTGTTATGGTAAAGATTCTTGAAAAAAAAAAAACAACAGTATTTTGCAACCTTGCATTTCCTGACATATGAAGACGAATCTAAGTCCCAGCACTGCGAGTGAAGACCTTTGTTTCTTTGCTCCTATGGAAAAAGAAAGTGGGAAAGCACATCAAAAGGGCACTACAGCTTATCTAGGTGCCCTCTGGGAAAATGGTGGGACTGTGTTCTAACAGCAACAATTGAGCAGATGCGTGCAGGAGGATTCAAAGCAGTGATAAAATTAGGAAACCCACCAATTCGGGTCAGAAAGAAAAAAAAAAGCCTTTGGCTGCCACTGAAAAAGTGCTGTTGATGTTTAACAATGTTGACCCTCAAAGTTCCCAAAAAAATATGACTCTGGCTGTTTCTCTAGAGAAAATAATGCCAGAGCTATACTGAAAACTGGAAAATGAAGGTTAGGAACAGGGTGGCTCATTAAGGATAAGTCATCATGAACTCTTTTATTTTCAGAGAAACCAGAAAGTTTTTCTTCTCAGGTGTACCAAGGTCTTCAAGAGGAAATGATTGCATACACATTTGCTGACTCTGTTATGGATAACTATAATCTGTTTTTCCACTGAAGCAAACTCCCTCATCCTTTTGCAGTTCAACTCAGGTGATAGTTTTCAACACTTACATCATCATCATAAAAAGGAGTGTCCAAAGTCCTGCAGGGACTGGGAGGGGCAAGCATCAGGCATCAGCTCTGCCTCCTGCCCAGGAACATCGATAGCACCTGGAAGATGATAAGCAGCATTCAGCCTGGGTAGGGGCAATATCCAAGCAAGCAAATCAGTAGGTCCTGAAGCAAAATAAATCTGCTGAGTTTTGAAATAGATTTCTGCTTGTAAGAGAAAAGTTAGCATGGAGGCAAAGCTGGGAGAACCAAAAGGGCTGGCAGTGTGGGCTGCCCTTGCAGAGTGAAGAGGGAAACATCATCCCATCCAAAGCCATCCCATCACTGCTGCCATTTGAGGGAACCCAGGAACACTTACCTTGGAGCAGATCCAAGGAAGGGGAGTGACTGCCCCAGCCAACACAAGGGAGGGATCCCCAGCAAGGAAGCGTGGGGAGTTCACCCTGTTCCCTGCACCCTCACACTGCCCTCTGGGTCACATCAGTACAAGTATTTGCTGCCTACAAATGCAAATCAGGCACAACGTGGTGTTTCCCAAAGCATTTGCATCTCAGACACCCACATATGCCTAAAACTCTCCCCTTCCGCCTATGCACTCTGCGTTAGTTTCTTCATTTCTAAAATGGATATGATAATTACCCGCCTCTCTGGCAGCAGCAGGAGGAGAGGAGATACCTGCTCTGCTCCATGGTGGCAGCACCACATCCCCTTCCCATTCCCCCTCTGCACCATGTGCCAGGCAATGCTGGCTACTCCATCAGCACCTGCAACTGCATCTGGAGACTATGGGAGAGGAGAGAAATGCCAGCTCTGCGTCCAGCCCTGTTTAAGATGGTTTTCTGGGATGATGCTTCCAGACCATTACCTCAATATCTTCAGGCTTCTGCCTCAGGATGACTTCAGGCTCCCCAGCCAGCAGCACATCTGATTGTTGTGTTTCACACATGCAGCTGCTGGCAGGCACATGATGGGCACTTGCCAGAAATACCATGGGGTCATGAGTGTGCACTGCAGGGAAACGAAATCTGTGTGGGTGCCTTTCAAGGAAACCACAAGTCCTTGGGCGCCCCAGCAGTCACACAGCTTAAGAGAATCAGTCCCCTGTGTGTATGTTTTGCAGTGTATTTTTCCTGCATTGTCAGCCTTTTGTACTTCCCCTTCATAGCTAAGCCATGTCTTCAGCTCTTCTTGGCAGTGCTCATTTCTCACAGTAAGAGAATATCATCAAAACCTAAGAATAACAAACAGAAGTGTATTCTTGCCAATCAGCATAAAGCAATCTCACATTAAATTGACCTTCTGGATTGCGCTTTATGTTCTATTTACTCAAACATAAAATCCTATTTTCTTTTATATAGGAAAGAGGGAAGTGTCCTGACAAAGGGGTTTCACTTCAGAACACAGAATACCAAGGAGAGTTCACCAATTCAGTCTGCAGGCTGAACTCGGCAATTAAAATATCACAACACAAGTAGGAATCTATATATGCTCAAGAAAACACTTCAGCTGATCATCCACCTACTTCAGGCAGGTAATCCATCAGGTCTGGCCACTCTGACACTTTTGAAAACTTGTGCAAATAAAAGCAGTAGGCAGCGCAGCAAGTTACACCTTCAGGCAGGTGTACCAGGTGTGGGCAGAGCAACATACCTGACCTAAAATCTCCCAGGCCAACGAAGGAGCCGCCAAGACTGAGCTCACAGAGTAGCACATATGGTGGAGTCACAGTGTTAAATTCTGGGTGCTCAGGTGCTTCTAATCCTCTCAGACACAAAAGGTACCACCAAAGCAGCAATGTAGCAAGCAAGAGGATGCAGCTCCCCTTGGCTGCACTAGATGCAGTTCATTCCATATAGGCTCTCAAGGAGGTGTGGAGTGTAGTGCACTAAATGAGTAGAAAAGCTGCAGCATACTTATTAACACATCCTGTGAGCTGCTGGACTCACAGAAATCCCACAGAGCATGGTGGAAACTCTCCTCAGCTGCAGACCTGTTTGCTCAGCCATTCCAGCTCTTCTTTTTCATCCATGTCAGGCTCATCCTGAAATAGGGAGCACCATACAGTGATGGTGCAGTGGTCCTGAGCTTTTCACCTCAAGTGTAACAAAGAACAGCCCTGGAGTTTTAACTCAGCCCATGGTGCTGCCTCCTGGGTGTCTGCTACCAGTGTTTTTTTCTCATCAGAGCACTCAAAAAATTGTTTGGTTATCTAACCATGCCAAGATACACAAAACCATGGGAAGATACTAACAGTGGAGAGCTGAGCTGTAGTGATTAATAAAGACACCAGATCCTTCAGACTTTCATTAGGAAATACAGCAGAGACCTGAGTCACCGGCTGCTCACAGCATTTGCTGCAGCAGTGGCACTCAGCAGCACCTTGCAACACCTCTGCTGGCTCAGCCACCTCACCTGCCTGGGAGTTTCACTACAGCTCATCAACATTATGCCCCAAAATATGCTGGAGGATTGAAAAATTGCCCAAACCACTGTTTCTTGACTATCAGACTGGCTTTTGGAGTATGGGCTTCAAATCTTACACCACGTGGACAGATGTCAGAGTACCCAGACCCAGGAATCACAAGAAGAAAGCCACAAGAGCCCTGGTCATTAAAAGGTCTCAGGGATTAGCTGCTAGGCAGGATCTTCTTTCTATTTGCACAGTGTCTGAAGCACCCCATGTTCATAAGCTCTTAAATCACTGTAGCTTTGTCACTAGAGCCATCCTGGCTCTGACAGGTCTTTCCTTCTGCAGCCTGCTTCCACAAGGGCTCAGCAGTGGGTGCTGATGGAAAGAGAGTGAGAAACAAGGCATGCACTGCCCAGCCTCTCTCTTGGCGGGTTGTCTTTTTCAGAAATTCTTCTTTTTCCTACAGGGTGTACAAGGCTAGACAGGCATTGGTGCTCACAGATAGCATATCTCTCCAATTCATCCTCGGTCCTGGGCCTCCAGCTGCATGCACTGCCTGCTGGTCAGCAGCAAACCTGCAGGTCCCCTTGAGCAAAACACAAGGGGAAAAAGAAAAAAAGAAAACATCAAGACTGAAAGGGGACTCGGGTCAAAGGGTTTCCTAACAGGCAGCCTGCCCACTACCTGGCAACTCCCATTGCAAATATCCTTGCAGCAGAACTCACTTTTCCTTAGCCAGCCTCAGGAGCAAACTTAGGCCAGAGAAGCAAGTGACAAAATTCCTGCTCATTTCAATGAGAAGCATCAGGCCAAGCTCCAAGGCTCCAGATATTCCCGCCAGACACCAATGCAGATTTTTTTCAGAGCTGGTTCCTGTTGCAGTAGAAGAAACAAAGTATTTATCTGCCTTCTTCTGGCATCCAGAGGACTCTCCTTAGAGAGAAAGGATAAGTAAAGACTTTGGTAGTTATTTGTGCAGCCTGGTCTTATGCTGCTCACTCCTCTCACAAATGACAACCACAAGCATGGAGGTGGCTAGGACAGAGGCAGAGCCCTGAGATGGGTCTGGCTCAGCAAATGCTGCCTAAGATCTACCACAGGCCAGGGCTCAAACTTCAACACCCACCCCTCCACAGTGTTAGCTCCCGTTTTGCTGACAGTTGCAGCTGTGGAGAGCTTTTTGCTGATTCACAGGCTTTGCAAGGGTTATTATTAGCTTATGGAGATGAAATGGCTGTTGATTTGAAAAGATTTGGTAGAATATCAGAGCAGGGCAACCTAAAACTGGGAGGATTTCGTTTTCTTGATGGCAAATGTCACGCTTTGCCTGTATGCACATACAAGCTGATGAGGATTAATGCACAAGAACTATTGCCACTATTGACACAGCAGCACCTACCCCCTGAAGCAAAAAGGAGGGAAGAGAGAAATCCTTTTACATGGATCCCCATCCCCCTAACAAACAGGGAGCTAGGACCTAGGGGTGACAGTTCTGGGGGATAAGGGAGTGGGGCTGATGGTCACTGACATGAGGTGTCCACCTGCTCTGACCAGCTGTGTTTTATTATGCAATATTGTCTCCTAGCAAAAATGCTCAATGTCTTTGCCCCTCCATCTTTCACTGTCATCTTAATCCTTCAGAGCAAGAGCTCTCGTAGCAGTATGTGGGAAATGGAGTCAGACATTCTCTGAACTGTCCTATAACGTTTTTCTGCTGGAGGGTTCAAGCAGCACTGATGCCATGGGAGAAACACAGCAGGAGTGGCTATACAGTCCCTCCACCACCTCAGCAAAACAGTATAGGAAACCAAAGAGAATAATCTGTTCTGTAACAATTTCTTTGCACAAATCATCCAACTCCACCTCAGAAGCAAATCAGATTGCTTCCTTGGTGCCTGATTAAGTTGATTTGCTCTCCCTTGGACACATGGGAGAAGGATTGGTTGCTGTCACAGCCTTGACAGACTTTTCAAGGCTCCAAACAGGTTCCCATGTGGCTCCCTGGGTGTGTATCAAAAGGGAAGGATTGCTTTTAGTAGCTGGTCATTGGGAAACACCCCTTGACCAGCCACTGCACCAAGAGGTCAGAGCAGAAGTCCCTGCTGGTGTGGCACCCACCAGCATCGGGCCAATGCTGTTCAGCCTGGGCTGTGCTTGACACACCAATCCAGCTCTGCAGCCTCCTGCCGAGGGAAACAAGGACGCTGCAGTGCACCAGACAGGCTCATGCTCAGCTGCATGCATCTGCCTGATGGGTTCAGCCTACGGAGCTACTCACACAGCTCTCCTGAATTTCTGCTCTCATCTCAGGGAAAGAAGAGAGATCAGCAACAGAGCTGACAGCTGAAGCCAGACCTGTTCAGATCTGCTGCCACCCACAAGCCTGGTTCAGGAATCTCTCTCTGAATTTCCATTTGGACCCACAGAATTAGTTTGAGTACAAGAGGGCAGCAATAAGGCACCTAATTTGTTTCACCCTGGAATACATCATCATTTAAAAGCCTGGAGTATTTACTGTCGGCAAAGAGATATTGATCGCTTAGCCACAGGCAGAGTAAAAATCATTGAGGGGAAAAAAAGAACAAGCAACAAAACAAACCAGAAAAATTGCTCCGGTGGCTTCCTTCCACACCAGTGTGCGATGTGCTGCCTCAGTTTTCAATGCCTTCCAGCATCCCTCAGCCCTCACAAGCTTCCAAGGCACAAAAAAAATGACCTTTCCCTTTGAATTTATTGGAGAATGGATTCCAGCAGCTCCCGAGCACTTTATCACCTTCCTGCAGGGGAACATAAAACAGGGCCCTTGTCTGTGCCTGTGCCGTAGGAACAAATAAATAAGGGCAGCTCCCTGCGGCTCCGCCACCGGCGCATCCAGGCGCAGGGCCGGCTCATTGTAGCGGCGAGCTCAAGCTGCGGAGTTCAGAGCGAGCTCGGCTCTCCGCTCCCCGCCGCCCCTGGATGTTTGGAGCCAGTTATTTCCTTCTTAGGCTTTGCTCAACAGGAAGGCTGTTCCCCACCCCGAAAACCTGGTGTAAAGCTACTGGTCCATTGTGGCCCTTGTAAAAGATGGATTTCCCCGCTAATGGGGCGGCGGCGTTCCCAGCGCTGCTTGGACGCTGCATTTGGGTGCATGCGGCCGGAGCGGTTTCCTTTCAGCAAATTGCATTTTAACAGCCTGAGGGCAATGGCTCTCCTCGCCGGGCGCTGCGGGGGCCCTGCGGCAAGCCTCGCCGCCGCTCCGTTTGCCACAAAACCCCCGGCGCTGGTTCTCTCGGTGTCCCTACCCAGGGACAGCGGCACCGGCGCCTCTGGGGCAGCTGCGGGGCAGCTCTAGACAGGGACGCGGGCAGGAGAAAGTGCGGCTGATCCTGCGGGTAGTGGCCATTCCCTGGCATTGGGGCTGGGATGAAAGCTCCTGGGCGAGCCAGCAGTGCTGGAGGGCTGAGGGATTTCCGTGAGGGCCGGCCAGGGCGCTGCCTCAGGGTGAGGTAAATGCGGGGCTGTCCCCCTGCCCCGGCAGCCAGGCCTCTGTCACCTGTCCCCGGCCCCCACCGGGAGCGCGGCCCTGCAAGGCGGCTGAGCCTCGCACAAAGACAGGCCAAGCGGGAGGATTGCAGAGCTGCAGCCGCTCCCCTCAGCATCGGCAGGGCGGGAGACTGAAATGGCGACAGGGCTGTGCCGGCATCAAAGGCAGAGCGAGATCCCGGCACAGCCACGCTCCCGACACGCCGCCGGCCTCTGCTCCTCCCTGCAGCCTCCTCGCTGAGGCGATGTAAATCAGCGGCTCCGTGGGTGTTTGCCACCTGCCTCTGGAGAGAGGGTAGGCGTTCCTCAAGGTTTTCATTATTCTAATTTTTTTTTGCCTGGTTTTAAAGGGAAAAAAGAAATAACATAAAGTGCCACCCGTATGTCAAAAAGAAGAAATGTGGACTAACCTGTCAGTTCTTTCACAGGGAACAACTTGTGTTCTCATCAACACATACTACTATTAATTTTTATTTTTTTTAACAGTACTGTCTTTTCTCAGCCTAACCTTATTGATGATTCCTTCCCAGAAGCTTTAGATAATTATTTAGTTCAATATTTATCGCTTAAAGAGTAATTCATGTCCATAATCCAACAGCACAGTTTAAGTGCAAGATCTCAGCACTGCAGTCGAACTGCATTGTTGAGTTTAATCTGTCTCATTCTTTTAAGGCATTTAATTAACCCCATGCAAAAGCAGTCTTTCTAGATGTTAGCAGCTCTGAAAGCCTTTAGCAAAAGCTACTGGGGTCCAAATGTTTTGTTCTACTAAAAACTCTGTGAGAACTTGAATGTGTAATTTCACTCACAAAAGTATTTCAAAACACAAAGTGGTTTGGAGTCAGGTTTTTGGTTTGGTTTTTTGGTTTGGTTTTTTGTTTTGTTTTTTTTTTTTTTTAAATAACTATTTCAGGAAGTTAAAGTGTTTTACAAAACAAAAAGTCATCATCCCTCAAGTCTGTCTCTGCAGTGAAATCACCACCAGCTACATCAATGTTTGTGCTGGTATTTTCAAAATTTGGGGGGAGCGTATGGATTTCTCTTTTTGCCTTAGCATCACTAAAAGGAATAGAAATTGAAAGAACACAAAGTAAACCATCTGCTTACAAAAGACCCGAGCAAGGGCTTTGGGTGCCCCAGTGCCCCAGATGATGTCTGGGCTCCCAGTCATGCCATGCGAGATGGCATCTCTGCTGTAGACATAAGATTTTTTTTCCCCAAACAGAATAGGTAGCCTTTTCAAGACAATCTCAGTTCTGTCTAAAGCAAACAAATGTGCTTTAAGGATCCTGAATTCTATGCAAGATCACTTGTCTAAAGTACACAGGGGCTTGGAAGCACTTGGGAGTGCTACTGATGCCTCCGGGCTTTTTAGAAGCATCTAAACAGCGTGAGAACATGGTGGTTTATCCTTATATCCTGTGAGAGAATGGGATCCACCATACTTTTGTGATACTTCTGTAGACTGACAGCAGTCCTGGAGGTGGCTGTGACTTGGATGTGGTGCTTCCTTGCCCTGAGAGAGGACAATGAGGGAGGACAACTGAGTGATTTGGGACAAGATGGATTTACTCTCCGCTGAACCCCACAGCTCTTGCTCGCACCCAGTGCGCTACAGACTCTTCATGGGCACCAAGACAACTTCTTTCTTTCAGCCCCTCTGCTTCTGCCTGCGTGAGAAGCTGTGTACCAGGGAAGCACCGGCTGCCTGCAGATCGTGGAGGGCTCTCATTTCACCACCTGACACATAAAAGCAAAAAATAAAGAAGTCAGAAACATTATCACCATGGAACTGTTCTGGATGAACTTCATCTGAGATTAAAACCAAACCAGGAGCATTTTCAGCATGGCAGGCATTTTCTTTAGCTTCCAGAAAAGAAAAACATGAGTCAACAGGCTAAAGAAATCTCAGAAACAGGTGGTGAGAGACACTGCATGGAGTTCAGTATTTGTGCAGTTGCTCTGGTTCTTACATTGGCCTGTTTTAAATGAACCAAAATACCACTCTGTGTTTGTGGTTGACATATATATATTGTCTTACAGGCAATGGGCACCTACCATAGCTTTGCTGCAGTGATGCTTATTCGTTTAATAAGACAGTCTCTTAAATCTCCTCTCTACAATTTTAAGAAAATCAAAGTGGGACCAAATTAAGAAAAAACATAAAACCCCACCACATTATTTTTGGCCTGGTTTTGGGTTTTTTTTCCTGGTTCTTCTGGACATCAAAGAGAACAAAATCAGGAAAATCCTTGAGTCCAACTGCTTTTCTATCCCTCCTAATTGACCCTCCCTCCTGCACAGGAATCTGTCTCTATATCACTTTCAAGCTGCTTTAGCTAAATGGCTTCAGGATACAAGAGGTTAAAGCACCCTGCTGGGCAGAAATCTTTTACTATAGAGGTCTAGCAGCCTTTCCCTTATCTACAGAGTGGGGCTGTGATCATACAACAGCTAAAGTCATGAGCTTCTTAATGCTAAAATGGCAGATGTTATAACAACAGGATATTTATTAAGTTTCCCATTACCCTGCTGGGTTGTCAGACCCCGAGTTCTTTCTAAGACTGTTTTTTGGTTTTTAATAACCAAAAGTTAACAGAAGTCTGTTTCCAGCCTTCAAACAAGAAGTCACGTGAAAGGAAAAAAACTAAAAGGAAAACATTTATAAAGTCTCTGTCTCAGCTTGACTCCTATCAAAGGAGGGAGCAGTACTACTAATTCTGTATATCTTTCTGCCTCCATGTTATGGTATAGATTTGTTTTAGAGTAGGTATAGTTTTAACCTTTTACCTAGACAGCATTGCATGAAAAGTCAGAGTCCATGTGATTCCGAAATCATGGAGACTTTGGTATCCATTAATTATTTAGTGAAGCACTGCAAACTCTCTCATGGTGGGTGCTTTTCCTCATTGCTAGATTAGAAAGCATCCAGCAGCCCTGCCTGGAGGATACCTACCTCTGTGATCAGTGCTATGTTGGGAGGTGACAACCCCTGCCCAAGCAGGGCTTGGAAGTTACTGTGGAAAAAGCAGACAGCCTAGAAAAGCCACGTACACAAGGAAACAAGAAATAACCAGGTTTAAGCCGTTGTTTTTGAGTTTCAAGACTCATTCATCAATTCTAAACTCAGTAACAGCATTAATCCCAGAGCAACTGGAGTGGCAGCCCAGAATCAGAGTTGTTACAGCACTGGTGGTGCCCTTTCCACCAGCCCATTGCTCTCTTTACACCGATACCACACATGCTCTGGATGTGGAGGCCTTTCCTGTGAGACAGGGGAAGTTTCAAACCTTGAGGGGTGGGCAGTGCTGTGCATACATTTGTTGGTAGATGGGTGTTCTGTGACAGGAGCTGCTCAGAGCACAGATTACCTGGCCTGCACGTCCCAGCTCATGGCAGTCATACCCTCACTTCTCCCATGTGCTGTGGCCCTAAAATTGGTGCAGCACAGCCAGGATCAGCCAGGAGCAATCCAGACCTCTCTGAGGAAGACTGCTGGTTTTCCATCCCTCAGGTTGGGTCAGTTTGCAGCCCAATCCAAGAGAGGATGGCTTCTTTCCTTAGAACAGCTGTAGTCCTGCTGGACGCTTCTTCAGATTTCTACAAGCCACCCCCCACCCCTATTTCCGAGGTCATTCTTAAACTGAAATTTTAGCTTTTGGGGGAAACTGAAGTCCATATGGAGATAAATGAGACCCCCTCAGAAAACAACAGCTTCTACCATGGTCACATTTTTGAGTCTCGGCAAGTACTTTGTATTTCTTTAAGCACTATCTAGCAGAGTTTGAGGGATGAAAAGCATGCCAGAGGTCAGAGCCCTGCATGTGCTACGAACAGAGAGCACTTTTCACCTGTCAGAGTTCCCAATACAAGGCAGGCTCTTATAATCTACTTATCAGAGATGAAAAGTGAGATGGAAAATATGCTTTAAGGGGTCCTGTAATAATCATTACCATCCTATTCAATTTATTTAGTAAACATCTTGGACTTACCAAAAAGAACCTCAGTGAAATTTCAATGAATATTAAGTTTTCCTCCTGTACCTATGAGTGGCTCTGTTTGGGGTTGGTCACAGATCAAAATCCAAGAGCCCAGCTCTTCTTAACAGAGGCTTAAAGTGTTGAGAATTAATCTAGCCTTATCTTCAACACAGTATTCCACATTTCTAGGTTTTTAATATCCTCCATCCAGCTCAACTTGGTTCAGAGTCTTGCACTCCTACTGAACACAGGAAAACACGGTGTCACTGGTTCAGCCAGCCAGCATGTGGCCCCTTAAGGCATTGTCACAAGAAGATACCCTGAAGCCAATTTGGTTAAGACATCTCCTTAAAAAAAGATCTGTCAGAACAAAGTTCCTGACAGAATCAAGTTGTTTGAAAACTAGGAATGTCATGTTTGGGTAAAACCTCCAACAAACTCTCACATTATTTGA